ATATATAGAATAAAATGTTGTATGGGTAGGAACAAATAATGAAACAATTCTCTTCTCTAAATTAAATTTATTTGTATAGAAAAATTAATATCAACATATCGAAACAATGAATTTCGATTGAGTTCTCTTCAGTCGTCATTAAAAATAAATATATAATGTACAGACATAAAAAAATTAGGAACAAATCAAAAACTTTCTGCAAATTCGTAATTACTTTAGCACAGAAATGAAATAAGAGTGACAAACAAGAAATGTTTTGTGTTAGTGGAATGATATTTATTCATACATAAAATAATTATAAAAAACATTTTAATGATTATATTATAACAATTATTTTGAATTGAATTGAATAACAAATATTATCTATTAATGTTTTCATGTATCTCTTTTTTGATCATTAATTTATACCAAAGATTGATTTATATTTTGCACTTTAAATATTTTCTATCTCACAAAATATTTATATTTTGTCAATATTTGACTTTCCTTGTTTCTTAGATAATTATCAGTAAGTTAAATTTTATTAAAATCTTTTACTTTCTCTGATATAGAATCACTAGATATATTTTTGGTCAGAAGTTAAATGTATAGGAAAAAGGGGGGTAAGATGATCTTAAGGTTTGTCAATTTTTTTTTATTTTTATAGTAATGTAAAAAGAATGATCAATTTTTTTTGGTTAGTTAAAATCTTATTCATCATTTGCAGAAACTGAAAAGTTTATAAATAAATTAGAATTTTGTATAATTTAAATTTTTGAGGATACATCAATTTCGTCATCTTGCCCCCATAATTTATTAATGCTTGACATTTTATTTTGTTCAAAATTTTTATTTATATAGATATAGCAAATACAACAAATCGAAAATTTGGGTTCGAAAAAGATGTACATGTACATGTAATAACTTTACAACATATACATTTTATAAATATATAATTATTTTTCTCTAATTTTTTATAGTAAATTTTGTATATTATACTGTATATTATATTGTATTATACTGTACTATACTGTAAGAGAGAAAATATTTATATGTAATCTTTATTTATATCATTTATATATGTATATATATATATATATATATATAAAATATCTTTAGATCTGTAAGGTACACATATACTTTCATCACATATGATAAAAAGGCTGGCAGATTCTTATGAGATTCTCTGCACATAGAGATTCACATGCGAAACACATACATCGATACTTCTATTAAAAATTATGCTGTTGCCATTTTTATAGAAACGTTTACAATATGTAGGAACATATTAACATATGAATTAATGCAAGTTGTTAGAATAAAGTTAGAATAAGTGCATATATAATAAAAGTAGTTTCACAAAACCTTTGATTAATTCGATAGAATCATTAGCTATTTGTTTGTACGTTTTATAAAATCGTAAGTTATTGTATGGAAGCACGTTTTGAATTTTTTAATATTTATAATAATGGCAATGATTCTATATACAATCGTAAACAAACTTAGAATCACTGAATTAAATACTTGCTCTGTATATGTATATATATAGAAGTATCTTTATATATAACTATGCATATAAAAATAAGTTTATTTATATGCATATTCTTGAAAAAATATATAAGCTATATTATTGTCATTAATCGTTAAAAAGTTAAAAAAAAAGTAGTTGGACATTTATGTACGTATTTTGTAAAAAAAATGAACAATGTAATGAAATGCAAGGAAACAAGTTCCATATATGTGACTGCAAATACTTTAGGATTGCACTAGTGCTAATAAACATTTTTTATAATGTCCTGAGCAGTCACCCTGAAAAACAAGAAGAAAAGAAATAAATTACATTTCGATATATGATACATGATATATGATATTTTTATATCGATAACTTACACTTATAAAATCTTCCAATGACTCTAGATACTGATGGGCAAACACATTTTTTATTTCACCCATGTCTATTTCGCAACGTGTCACGACTAATCGGATGAGACGGCTATCATCTGTACCAAGACCCTTCATGCTTTTGTACAATTGTTCAGCGAAAAAACCGGGCCTGTTCTTGACACACTTCACTATACGAAAGATATTTATTTTAATAAGCGATTTAATATTTTCTTCTCTTATATATCTATAATTATTATAATTATATATATAATTTACCAATTGCAAGGAGACCCTTCTTAATATCGCCCGAAAATTCATTTTCAATCGCAGTTTCAATGTCATGACCAGTTATATTTTGATACTCTTCAAATATCTGTCGTAATTGTGCCATATTTCTTTGGACAAGAATTGCGTTAAAAGTAGATTCATCCGTACCAAATCGAAGCTCTCCTGTGAATAATATTAATATAAAAATCTAATAGAAAATCTAACTAATACAGTAGCTATTTAGATATTTTATCCTAATTACCAGCTTGCAAAAGTTTTTTAGCATCTTCCATTGCTGCTGCATTATCCACAATAAATGATTCGTCTCTATTGGCACAACATAATGATACCATCAAGCGCTTGAAATTGCCAGATGTATCAGAAATTAAATCATCCTCTAATGTTCTTCCGTACACTATAATTGTTAAATATTAGAAGCAAACAAATTGATTTACTTAAATTGAATTATTTTATAATCTTATTTAATAAACTTACTTGCTTCATATGCTTGTTTAATGACAGAAATTTCATGATTGGACAATGTACACAATACTTCAATGAGTACTGTCTCATCAGTACCAAGACCAGACATTGCATCGTGGAGTTCTTTAGCATAATATTGAGGTAGAGGCATCATCAAGGCAAGAACAAGTTTTTCGAAGTTTCCTGATAGCTCAGACTTCAAGTCTTTTATCAGATCCTATTAACAGAGATGCAACAGTAAATCCCAATTTTTTTCAAAACAAGTTTTTAAAGTCTCAATGTATACCTTTCCGTAAAGAGTCTTAAATTGAGATGCAATCTCCTGGCGTTGTAGATTACTACGATTTGCAAGAACATGAATAATGGCTTTCTCATCTGTGCCAAATCCTTTCATAGCTTTCCTTAAAGTTTCTGCGTCCGCTCTAGCATCAAACCCATCATAAGGCACAACAGTGGGAGAAGTCTGTAACAAAATTTATGAAAATTCGTTAAAAAAATCTATTCAAACAAGATCAAAAATGTTTTTCCACAAGATTACATTAACTAATACCTGTGGAAGGAATGTGTATAACTTTTTCAAAAGTCAAACTATTTTCAATCTCACCTTAGGCGTAAACCGACCTCTTTGGGGGGCTGGGGTGGCATCACGTATAGCAGCAGTAGGTGGATTAGCAGTATAAGAATATGTCGAGCCTATCCCCTGCCCCCCGGGATAGCTTCCGCCTTGATATGGAAATGAACTAGCTGTCTGTGTATTTGATCCAGAAGAATAAGAAGGAGCCGAATTGTAAAAATACTCCTTAGCGTCTGGTGCTTTTTGAAGATTAGGGTACGTATAATTTTGCTGTTGAGGATAAGGGGATGGCATAGTTGGATTAAAGGACGTGTTAGTATAACATGGAGTGGGCATAGAGTGAGAAGGATGTGTCATTGGTTGAGGAGGATACTCATTGGTTTGCGCGGATGCGCTGCCCAGAATAGGGTGCATGGGCTGTGTCGGATAAGGAGTTGACGCTTGAGAATATGGTTGAGGCATGCCAAAAGATGTTGGTGGCGCATTTGAGAAACCGACTGGAGAATAAGACGGAGCACCAGGGGCAGAGGATGCACCTGGTGGAACTCCAAACGACGTTGGTGGTCGTGCTCCCGGAAACTGAACAGGTGGCCCCTTGGATGTATCAAGGTATAAATAGAAAAAAATAGTATACTAAATCCCATGTACAAGCTTTGTAACTACTTTTTTACATAATTGAGAAGCTTACTTTAAACTATATTAATATTTAAATTTATGTTTTCAAACAGTAATGAGATGCCATAGACTTTTTGTAATATATATATATATATATATATATATATATATGTGTATA